GTAGTTGTTGTTGATTCGGTAGTTGGTGTTTCAGTGGTAGTGGTTGTTGACTCGGTAGTTGGCGTCTCAGTGGTAGTGGTTGTTGACTCGGTAGTTGGTGTTTCAGTAGTTGTTGTTGTTGATTCGGTAGTTGGTGTTTCAGTAGTTGTTGTTGTTGATTCGGTAGTTGGCGTTTCAGTGGTAGTTGTTGTTGATTCAGTAGTCGATGTCTCAGTGGTAGTTGTTGTTGATTCGGTAGTTGGTGTTTCAGTGGTAGTGGTTGTTGACTCGGTAGTTGGCGTCTCAGTGGTAGTGGTTGTTGACTCGGTAGTTGGTGTTTCAGTAGTTGTTGTTGTTGTTGATTCGGTAGTTGGTGTTTCAGTAGTAGTGGTTGTTGATTCGGTAGTTGGTGTTTCAGTGGTAGTGGTTGTTAACTCGGTAGTTGGCGTCTCAGTAGTAGTTGTTGTTGATTCAGTAGTCGATGTCTCAGTGGTAGTTGTTGTTGACTCGGTGGTTGGTGTTTCAGTAGTAGTTGTTGTTGACTCGGTAGTTGGTGTTTCAGTAGTTGTTGTTGTTGATTCGGTAGTTGGCGATTCCGTGGTAGATGTTGTTGATTCCGTAGTCGGTGTCTCAGTGGTAGTTGTTGTTGACTCTGTAGTGAGTGCTTCAGTAGTTGTTGTTGTTGATTCGGTAGTTGTTGATTCCGTGGTAGTTGTCGTGATGCTAGAATCTGTAATAGAAAATACACTGAGTGTCAAAACAAGTAAGCAGCTGGTGACAAGAAAACATACCACAAGGTTGATCATAGATCTTGATTTCATCTAAACCAAAATAATAAGTTGCACTTTGGGAATCACGCATCATTCTGAACGTAAGCTTAAATGACAATGAACAAAATTCAATGAGGCCATCAGTTATTTATATTCACAAGAGACTATAGTATTACTTACTTGATATGGAGGTGATGATGCAGCTGTAAAGCTACTCCGAGTGTGTTGCCACTTATTTTCTGACAGTGCTACCAATTCGACAATTTGTTCGGTGTCTGTATTTGTTTTCCATCCCACTTGCATTTTGGGATTACTTGTTTTACCAGGTATATAATAATAGAAATCGAGACATTGGATAGGATTGGAGCTTTGTGTAACATCAGTTGAATATGTCTGATCATATTTGCCGGTACCTGATGCTCTTATGTTAGCAAATTTTCCTACAAATAATCGATGTATTCAAGAAATATTACAATGACGCGAAATCTAACAAAATCACTAACCGATTAGACATTGCCCTGGGCGGCCGGATGTAGTTGGGCAAGTATAACTGTTATTATTATTACGTCGACAAAAGTACATTTGCCAGCCTCCTGAATAGGTATATGGAAAAGTGCAGGGTTCATTGTTAGGTGTAGTTAGTGATTCTGTATAAAAAATGATATTCGATAATGATTTGCATTTTCTTTCATTTGAAAACACTTACGAATGGCCGTAACATCAGACAAGGGTTGAGTAGGATTACTAAACGTGCTACTGCCATATGTTAAGTTCAAATTATAGGTTCCTGCTGACTCTAGTCTGAATTGACAATCACCTGTCATGTCACTGTCGAAGTTACATTGATAGTTTATATTTTGAGAGTAACAAAATGTTAATATAGATAAAATAACTATAAAAATAATAATATAAAAGTCGAATAGATCGTTTTCAATTAATACATACCAGTAAAAGTACAAAAATCCCGATTTGTCATAATTGAAGCAATTTTTTCTCTAATAAATGCAATGGTTTCTATCAATGTAAAACAGTTAAAAAGTCTTTTATCGTCATTAGCTTATGAGAATATTGTCACTTTATGATACCCTGAAACAAATTAATAACATGAATGTTATTTTAAGAAAACAATTAAGATAAAAATAAGAAAAAGGCATGCTTCACAATATGCGTTTCGTTTGATGAAGTAGCAATGTGTCCCACGTGTGTCTAATCTGGTATGTATAAACACAAGGGTGATGGATGGTTACTTGTTATCAGCTTTTGTATCGTAAAAGAAGAGGAGAAAACAAAAAAAAAGGCGTCGGCAGGTAATATTATTCTTAGAAATAACCGATGCTTCTGCTTGAAGTACGAAGTTAGTCAACGAACTGCGGTCGATTATAACTATCACCTTTTAAACTGATTTTGCATAAAACTGGAGCGTAATTAATTTATCTGTGATGTACTGAAAGGAGGCATCAAAATAGGTAAAACAAATGCTTTTCACAATTGACACTAACGAGAAAGGCTCGATCAAGATTTGTTTCTTACTAATGTTAAGTATTGTACATTCTAAGTAAAACAGGAAGAAGGTCAATAACAAGTTTTGAAAGCATTCATTTATTTCATTAAATGAAATACATGGAAATGGATTATTATATTTTGGAATTCGTATCTTTTGTAGCAGCACCTAAGCTTTGTTATCGATTCGTTAAGAAAGAAAGTTCATGACGTTTCTCGATAAATTTTTTTCGTTTTGGTATGAGTTATATCAAATACAAGGAGAAATACTATAAAATTCTTTGCATTTGAATGCAATGAGTAAGTATGTTGATAAATGTAAAAATGTATCTTTATGATCAACTCATTCTTTTATCTATTCTATTATTTGCTAATCACAAGACATGACATTAGAATGTATCAAACGAATTGTTCGATTTATCTTGAAGATTTTATATGATTTTAATTTCAGTGACCTACAAGAACTTTATTCGAAGAAACTGGCTTTGACATATTAGAATATAAGAAAATACGAATGTTTTTCTTTTCTACTAGAACTATAGTTTTCCTTCTTTTTGAATGAATATACTGCCAATAGTTATTATTCTTTTAACTAAAGTTGTTAATATTAAAACTATATCCAATATTAAATTAAGACCATTATTCGTTAGTATCTCTCATAGAATGTATTATGTGAATGGCAGAAGTTTGTGTTCAAAGAAAAACACTAGTACTTTTGATATTGTCATAATGTTTTTTTTCATAAATTGTAGCTCGCCTTTTATGCGAATGGATTTGAGATTTTCCTTTGTTTTATTTATGTAATACTCTGAAATGCTTACATGAGAAAAGTTGAAAAGGGAGGAAGACAAGATGCATGTGAGAGTTAATCGTCATTATTGGAGCTTTCTTTAGCACTTACTATGTCATGGTTGGAATATAGATAAAGCAACAGGAGGGGGAAGTTGTCATAAGGTTTGCACTGTTGTGGGTGTGAATGTGGTTCCTGTTATTATCTAATCTACATCAATCTATAAGATATAATGAGTTATAAACCTTGAGAGATATTGCTAAAGTCTTATCGTTTATAGTCAAGGTAAGAGTATTGGGTTTCACATTTTAATATCCCTAAGATTCTTTTGAAAAAAGGATTGCTTTTTTTATCACGTGAAAGTATGATCAAATTTTTTGGTAATGATAGTACAACTGCATTATTTTCCTTTTTGAAAGACAAGTGAATACGTCTGGCAAAGCAGTTGTTTTTGTTCAACGCTTCGAAGAACTTTTCTCTTCATTATTGTATAATGAATGTTTATCAACGATGTAACTATGTAATTCAAGTAGATTTTTTTCAATCTAGTGATATTTTAACAATATAAGAAACCTACAAATGCTTTCATCCATCGTTAGGACATCAATATTTTGATGTAGTCTCAAGTCCAGCAACGACTGCCAGTAATGATGGCCAAGTACCACAAACAAAGATCAAAGATCAAGGTTTACGAGAGACAATCGATAAGAAAGAAATTAAAGAAATAAACAAAAGATGCTCTCAAGGCAGCTACTGTATCTCAATGAGTGATTTCACCAAATAATTTTATAACTAATAAGAAAGCATGACTATGAAACTATTTCAGTAATTGATGAGGGTACGAGTGTGAAGATGAAGGCAAGCCCATCCTCATAATTTAAACAATTTCAAGCGTTTTTCAGCAACTTGTAATTCAATATATATTTTGGATTTTTTTTTTGTTCTTAATGAAATCATTTAAACTTCTTCACATCGAGTCGAAGTTTATGTTATCTAGTTGAAGACTAAAGAAAACGATAAAAAGACAAAGATGAAAGAATGAATGAATCAACATATTATGAAATGTTATTCATCTCTTACTTAGTTTATATTCGAACTTTTATACGTGACACAAATGAAAACAACAATAAAAATTACAAAACGAAAGAATAAAAAAAAAAAAGATTTAAAATATATATCTTCTTATAGAATCACTCTCTGATGTGCTTTTTACCGCTTTCATCTCAATGCCGTTCCGTTTTTCTTTATCTAGGTCAAAATGGTCTTCCTTGTTTTTTCTCCGAGATAAGAAAACACCTCCAATGATGAAAAGCAAAGCTGGAATACCAAGACCAAGTGAGAGACCAAGAATCAGACCCAAATTATTCGACGTTGCTAAAAAGATAAATAAGAATAGTTAGCAAAAAAACTATGATAGACTTTGTAGCTCACTTGGAGGCGTAGCTGTCAATTTATCTATTTTTGTCGTTATTATGGTTGTTGTTGTGGTCGGAGATTGTGATATAGTGGTTGAAAGAGTAGGTGGTTTGATCACATCTAAACAATTTTCAATCATTACTTTCTGCTTTTCACATTTCTTTTTCCTATGTTGTAATACTTACTTCGACAATTTCGGTTATAGAGATCAATATTATCTAATGCAAAATAGATTGTTTTATTTAATGCTGGATCTTCAGTTCGATTATCATTTGTAACTTCAAAATGAAACATCAACTAAAAACACATCAATAAATTCATTACAGCTTAGTTTTAGTCCCAAAAGAATATTACAGTATAGTTAGCATATGTTGAATTGAATGTAATATTTCTGAGATGCCAACGATTTTTTACTATATCAACAACTAATAGTCGATCGATTTCAATTTCATCGTCAGCTTCATTATCAGATTTAATTAATACTGAAATTTGTTGACCCCAATTAAGTTGATCATAAACAGTGAAATAATAATAATATCGAAGACATTGTTCTCCAACGGAGTTACGTAGTATCATTTCTTGACTAATCGACTTAGCAATAGTTTTGTTTGATTCCCAAGCATCAATAGAGATCAAACCATAATTACCTAAAGCAAGAAAATATTAAAGTATAGCTTGCAGAGTTCGATTCGGTCACATTCAAGAAATTTATAGTTTAGATGAATATTTCAGATTTGTATATTTTATGTGGCCTCATATCTTACAAAAAATACCTGAAGAACAAACATTTATCATAAGCATGTTGAGATGGCAGTTTTGACTATCTTGATTCGATCCTTTTATTAAGTTTTGCATGCCTCTGGTAAGAAATTCAATTTACCTGATGTACAATTTGCTAACCCTGCACTTTCAGTTGGACATTGATTTTTGTAACAAAACCATATCTCTGAACTAGTTGTATTTGTACTATTATATGTTGATGGTCGATAAGGTAATTTGCATGTCTCATTATTATTTTTTAGTTCACCTATAATATTCATTTTGTATAGAGATATGTTTTGAATAAAAAAGAAAAATGAATGCTTACTTATGGAAGTAACGTCAGAAAGAGGAGCTAGAGGTTCTTCACTAATATCGACTGGAGTGAATTGATTTCCATTTGTAATAAGAACTGGACTACCTTCAAAGCATGAAGTCATAGAAAAATCACAAGTAAATATTGGAATAAGAGGTTCTTCTGTTGTAGAAGTTGAAGTTGTCTAAAGAAGAATTAACATAATTATGAGATTGAGTTTTTTTGAGAGATTCATCTCATCAGAAGAAAAGGAACATGTTCAAAATATTCTCTAGTTTATGTTGATAGTTTCCCTTTTCATGCTAACCGTACCGATGTTATAACCGGAACGCTTGAACTTGACGTTTCTTCAATACCTTGCGTAATTACAGATGACTCAGAATAGCCAGGTGTAGTAGACACTGCTGTTGTTATTGACCTGATAATCAAAAAGCAGTAGGAAAGAACACTGCAAACATCGGCAATATTTCTCGAGCTAATGAGATATGAGATAATATAAAGACCAAAGCAAAGCTATTCTAAAGTGCCAGTAAAACAATCAAGATTATATTTTCGTTTTATGTAGAAAGACTTTATGAATATTTTCATCAATGTCTGGACACCTAGAACTTCGTTCCTTCATAGGTAAATGTGAAAGAAAACAAACTTTGAATTATGTGAATCATGATTAAATTCACGTTGAAACAATCCAACTCTCTTCTGATTGTAGAAATCTTCATCATTTCAATTCCACAACAATTAACTCTAGCGCACCTTATGAAGGTCCAGCAGATTCTTTAAGAACAGCCTGGGATTCTCTTATAAGCGTTGACCTTCCAGTAGCTACTATAAGTTTGACAATCCTAAAACAGGCGCTTTCCTAACGAATGAACTAGATCTCTGTCAATCCAAAATGCACACAACTTCTCACGGCTGATACACAATAGAACTCTGCATATATACCAAAGATAGAAACATTTTATCGCATAACAATGATTTGTTATGTTACTCGTACATGAAATCCATATAGACTTTCTCTTATAAACCACTTTTTTCTAATTTCTATCACTTCTCATACGCACAAAGTTTGGTAAAAAAGCATAATGCATACAAATCCAGCCCGTTCAGCCCGATAAAAAAGTGTTTTATCTAGCTTCAGAGCAAAATCTCCTTGTATCTGATGGACATATTCTCATCTCTGTTAAAAACTCTGAAATCAACTATATTCAAAACATCTATATCAGCTAAGTAACATCCAAGGCAAAAACTGATTTCAATGTGCAAAATTAAACGTTCTCCGATGCATTTGTGGTACATTATAAGAGATGGTTGGAAATGTAATAACAAATCAACTAAAACATGGTTAAATTCCACATCGCAAGAATGCTGATACAATGATTTTCATGCAGAATGATAATAAAATCATATTATGATACTTCTTTTTATGCACTCGAACTTTCTTAATGGATCACTGTCTTAATACCTTGTTGAAAATATTCAAAGATAAAACTTACGTTGTTGTCGCTCGTATAGTAGTCGTTGTTTTGGATAATAATGAGGTAGTTGTTGTTAATGTAAAGATAGTGGTTCCAGGTAATGGAGTACTAGTTGTCATTGATTCAGAAGTTGGTTTTTCAGTGGTAGCTGTTGTTGATTTGGTAGTGGGTGTCTCAGTAGTGGTTGTTGTTGATTTGGTAGTCGGTGTTTCAGTGGTAGTGGTTGTTGACTGGGTAGTTGGTATTTCAGTAGTAGTTGTTGTTGATTCGGTAGTGGGTGTCTCAGTAGTGGTTGTTGTTGATTCGGTAGTTGGTGTTTCAGTAGTAGTGGTTGTTGACTGGGTAGTTGGTATTTCAGTAGTAGTGGTTGTTGATTCGGTAGTCGGTGTTTCAGTCGTAGTTGTTGTTGATTCGGTAGTGGGTGTCTCAGTAGTGGTTGTTGTTGATTCGGTAGTCGGTGTTTCAGTGGTAGTGGTTGTCGACTGGGTAGTTGGTATTTCAGTAGTAGTTGTTGTTGATTCGGTAGTTGGAGTTTCAGTGGTAGTGGTTGTTGACTGGGTAGTTGGTGTTTCAGTAGAAGTGGTTGTTGATTCGGTAGTCGGTGTTTCAGTGGTAGTGGTTGTTGACTGGGTAGTTGGTGTTTCAGTAGTAGTGGTTGTTGACTGGGTAGTTGGTATTTCAGTAGAAGTGGTTGTTGATTCGGTAGTCGGTGTTTCAGTGGTAGTGGTTGTTGACTGGGTAGTTGGTGTTTCAGTAGTAGTGGTTGTTGACTGGGTAGTTGGTATTTCAGTAGTAGTGGTTGTTGATTCGGTAGTCGGTGTTTCAGTGGTAGTTGTTGTTGATTCGGTAGTGGGTGTCTCAGTAGTGGTTGTTGTTGATTCGGTAGTCGGTGTTTCAGTGGTAGTGGTTGTCGACTGGGTAGTTGGTATTTCAGTAGTAGTTGTTGTTG